CTACTCAACTGAACAATCATTTACACTACTACTCTGCTACACATCTGTGCTTCTTGTCTGCATTGTGATGCTTCACTTCACAGTTATTGGTCTGTTGAGGTTGTTTTGCACTGAAAACAGACAGTTTCTGATTCCTAATGTCGGATTCTGATTGTTTACTCTCTCTAAAACAAAACATATTTTCTATCCTTGCACACTTCTTTATATTATATATTTTTATTAGTAGTAGTCGTATCATGGCTAGTCAGTGTTAATTTCTGTTTTGTGTGTACTATCTATAGTTTGTAAAGTAACTAGTGTGTGGACCTCTTTACGGATGCTGCTGTGACGCCAGAATTTCTCCTCGGCGGGACAATACAGGCTGTTTCTATTCGATTCTATTCTATCACAGTTTTATATAATTAAACTTATTCAACCACAGTTAAATTCACTCTATCTAGGAGGCACAATTTACATAGATAGTATTTATTTTTACGAGCTGAAATGAAAACAAGCAAAAATTCTATTCTATCACAGTTTTATATAATTAAACTTATTCAACCACAGTTAAATTCACTCTATCTAGGAGGCACAATTTACATAGATAGTATTTTTTTTTACGAGCTGAAATGAAAACAAGCAAAAATGAAATAAAAATAATGACTTTCTACTTCTTGCCTTTTTAAAAAAATATAAGGAGTAGAACGTACAGATAACTGTGTGGAAATGTAATAAATAGAAGTAAAAAGTAGGTTGAAAAATAATCACTCAAGTAAAGTGCAGATACCCAAAAATTCTACTTAAGTACAGTAACAAAGTATTTGTACTTAGTTACTTTACAACTCTGGAACATTTGAAAYAACAAACATTTTTGTTGTTTTTCTTAACAGGTGTAAGACCTTGTACAAAACCTGAAATTCCAAATGGATTCTCTGTCGACCCAATCAACAACACATTGTATTATTCCTGTAATGAAGGTTATAAACTTTCAACCAAAGGATGGTGGGGGGAGGCCAAATGTAATGATGGTGMTTGGTCTGGTCTCCAAACATGTACAGGTAATTAATCTTTATTGTTTKTCAAGTTTGAATATCATTGTAAWGTTACCTGATCACAACAGCTTGTATCAAGTAGCTCTGTCGACTGGTGTGTAGCTATTAGGACACACGACACAATTTTGGCCAGATTTTACTTTGATTTTGGTTGGGCACATTTAACATATCTAGTTTGCTAGTGTGTGAGAGGACCAGACCTGACTCAACCATGGACCCAGTCCAGTTAGAATTATTTTTGCAGTTCTTGCAGAGCAGTCTTCAGTATATCGACTATGTGTCTCAATTCATGGGTTGCAACCGACGTAGACCGCGGACGATTTTGGCCACAGACGTGGGCCGTAGGCCGCTTGTGTCGGCTGCATAAACAGCTGTGAAATGAGACGGCCGTGTAGGATACTCAGATGCAGCCTAGATGTTTTTGGGGTTTGGTTGTCCGCATGAGTAGGCGCCTACGAATAGGAGGGTTTCACGTGACGTCACGATGCAGTGCCACTAGAGCGCGAAGTTCGGATGGAGGTCA